GAGCGGCCGGCACAGAGGGCGAACGCTGCCGGCTGCTGTCTGCGTGAGGCACCAGCTGGTCACCCCCACAGCAGCAGAGTGGCCGGCGGGGCGGGACGCGGCTTCGTCTCAGACGCAGGTGGCCCTCACGCACGGGCAGCCTGAGGCGTCGGGCCGAGCTGCGGCACAGAGGGCGAACGCTGCCGGCTGCTGTCTGCGTGAGGCACCAGCTGGTCACCCCCACAGCAGCAGAGTGGCCGGCGGGGCGGGGCGGGGCGGGGCGGGGCAGGTGGGGCTGCTCACCAGGAGCCCCCAGTCGCTGTGCCAGGTGAGAAAGCTCTAGAAGTGTGGGTGCGCATGGGCCTGCCCCTCACTCAGCACCGTGGGGCCTCCCGGGGCCACAGGGGTTAGTGAGGTCTCAGCATACGAAGCCCTCGCCGGGCCCTGAGGCCTGAGTTTCATCCCCGGGGCGCGGCAGACCCCTCCTGTCTCCCCGCTGCCCCCCTCAGTGGCATATCTCAGTGGATCCGCCTGTCGGGGGGCTGCACCCCCTTGCAGTAGTCTGCAGTACTCCGGGCAGGCCCGTCAGGACGTTGTGTCCCAGCGGGGGAGCGGGCTCGGGACGTCAGGGTCCTCGGCCACGTGTCTCCCTGCGCACGGCTTCCGGCCTTCCACGCGCCACCTGTCAGCCCTGCCCACTTTCCCGGAACGGGCTGGGCAGCTCTGAGGCCATCTGGCAGCTCGGTGGCCTCGGAAGAGGCGGGAGCAGCGGGCTAGCCCAGGTGTTCCGCCTCCTGCAGACTCAGCCGCACAGCCGGTCTGCGGCGCCCGGCAGGCTCGGGGCTGCGGCAGCGTGGGGGCGGCTGCGTGACGTCCCGCAGGGCCGCTTTCCTGCCTGGCAAGGTGCCCGCCTCTGTACGTCACCTCCCTGCTCACCCCGGCACCCTCTGGGGTGCAGGCTGACATAAATAAAGGCAGCCAGGCCACTGCACCACCAGACGCCTTCTCCCGCCCAGGCCCAGCCCCTCTGAGCGGCGTGAAGTGGCCCAGGAGGACGCTTGCTGTTTTGGGGCACGTCCCCGGCCCGGTCCCCCGAGTCTGCCCAGCTGGCCTCCAGCCCTGTGGATGGGCCCTGGCTCCCTCTGGAGGTGGCCAGCTGCTTCCCAAACAACCACGGCCCCAGCCTGCCTCCTGACCCCTAGTCCCGGGGTCCTGCATTCAGCCCATGGAGCCTCCGAGAGGCGGGGGGCACCTGTGTCCATCTCAGGGCTCGGGGCGCCCCTTGCGAGACCCCTCCTCTGGCTTCCTTGCCCACACTCACTCATTTTTCCTGTTAAAAAAAATAGGAACACGGCCCTCCCTGGTGGCGCAGCGGGTTAAAGCACAGCACTGAGAATCTGAAGCCGCTTCCGCATGAGTTCGATCCCCGCCTGCCCCGGAGGTGACCCACATGGTGTGGCAGACCTCTCCTGACCCGCCCGCTGCTCCCCTCAGCAGTGGACTTCATCGATCTGCCTGTTCTGCTCCCCACTCTGTCTCTGGTGACGCCTCTCACCGCCCCGAGCCTCTGGCCTGTACCCCAGTTCTGTATGCACAAATAAATAAATCTTTAAAAAAAAAAAATAGGAACACAGAGATGCAGCCGTGGCAGTGACTTGCCCGAGGTCCCCAGGCCAGGAGACGAACCGGGGGTGCGGGGAAGCGGGGTCTGAGGTCCCCGGCGGGGGGAGGCGCCTCTTTAAAGCCCTGAGGTTGTCTCAGGCCCGAGTCACATCTCTGGAGCCATGTCGGGGTCTCGATTATGTCCCCTCACACATTCTCAGAATTTGTGGGGATCAGTCATGACAGTCCGAGGCCAGACACAGCGCGGAGTCTGTGGGGTGCAGGGCCGCCCCGGGGTTAGGGAAGCAGGCGCGCGGAGCCAAGTCGCGACCACCTCAGGACCTGGGGCCGGCTGGCGGTGACCCCGGAGAAGGGGGGTGCGTACTCGGGACAAGGGGCGCGGACTTAGCAGCACGCACACGTGTGGACTCTCAGCGATCAGCAGTGGGGCTGTGTAACGCTCTCAGCCACGTTAGGCCCACGGAAAGGGGGAGCTGAAAGGCGGCGGCGGGCACGTGGGGGGACTGGCTCTCCAGATTAGACCGCCCACTTTGCAGATGGGGAAACGAGGACTGGGTGCCGAAGCCGCCCTGCCCCCACCCGCGCCCCGTCCCCCTCTGTGCTCACCGCGTTGAGACCGCAGAGCTGGTAGCAGGCCATGGTGACCACCACGGTGACCACCTGCCAGCGGACGCAGCGGCTCCGGAGCAGCCGCACGGTGGACACCAGCTGCACGTTCCTCTGGAGGCGGCTCTCGGCCCGCGCCTCCTCCATCTCCTGGGAGACGTCCTCCTTGCCCAGGAAGGTCCGGAACGCTGCAAACGGACGAGGGGCTTAGAGCAGGGCTTGGCGTGCGCGTGTCTGCCCGGGCCCCGCAGGGCCGGCCGGCCCCGGGCACGCAGCTGGTCAGGGCAGAGCTGGCAGGGCCCTTGAAGCCCGAGTGCCCGAGTCCTTACTCAAAACAAGAGGAAAACGGAAGCCAGGACAGTGCGGCGACTTGTCCTCTCCTCAGACAAGTCCAGGAGAGGAGCCAGAGACGCCCCATGGGGACATGGGGCTCCTGGGGTGACCGGTCCAGGCTGCTGGGGTGAGGGCATGAGACTGGACCTGGGTCAGAGTGCGCATCAAGCTGGCCCCAGCTGGCTCACCCTCATCGGAGGGTCCAGGTGGAGGTCAGACGCCGCATGGCCAGGGCACCCAGGGGTCCAGGCTACCATCCGGCAGAAGGTGGAGCTAAGGGCCCCCAGGCCCTCTCCACACGTCCCTCCAAAACCCAGGAAACTGGGGCTGGAATCGTCTCAGAGACTCCTCCCAGAATTCAAATTCACCCACGTCACGTATGCTTTTTCCGGGCTGAAGAATGCAAATGTCCAGCCTCAGCACACCTGTCATTTTTAAACCAAGCCCTTCATTGTGTCCACCTCCACAATGGACACACGGCTAGCTCTCCGGGCCCCGAGGCCATGATGGGGGGTCACGGGAGATGCCTTGCAAATGTGGAAATATTCACGCTGACGTTCAGCCTCTCCCGGGGAAAGGTGGACAGTCCACTCCAGCCACAGCGGCAGCATCCTTAAAACACTGCTCTGCACCACAAGGAACGTGCCATCATCCTCATGTCCGCTGGTTCCCCGTCAGGGGGAGGGAAGCTGCCCACCACATGAGACGGGGAAGAAATTGGGCCTCCGGGACCCTCGGAGAAAGAGGGGTCACAAACAGAGACGAGGGGGCAAAGGCGGGGGGCAGGGGTGGGGCCCCGTGCCGCGAGCACCTCTGGCCACCCCCAAACCACCTGCAGAATGGGCACTCGACGGTGACCGCTCCGTGGGGGCGGACACCCGGTGGGTGCTCGTGCTCACCTTCAGCTTGGGCAGCTAAAGCCTGTGCCGGGGGGCGGGGCCACGGGCAGTGGACGCTCGGAGCTCAGCAAGCTCAGGCCCGCAGAGGGCCTCGAGGAGGACGCAAGCTGCCCTGGGCTGCGGGATGGGGGTCCAGGCAGTGCCCCCCTCAGTTCAGGCACAGAGACCCCCTCGAGGACTCAGAGGTGACCACGGGCTCGACACAGCGTGTCCTCTGTTCTGGCGGCCCTGGACAGGCCTCTCACTGGGGAGCGACTCCTTTCTCCAGAATGAACACGTGTCCCCAGGGGAAGTCCCAGAACAAGTGGCCGGCCCGGCCCTCTGTGAGCTGCTGGCTGGACGACGGGCAGGGAGATTGGCCAGTGGCCCCTGGGTGTGTGGGCGGAGGGCGCAGGCTGGCCTCGCTGCAAAGCTGCAGCCTTGCGGCTGGAAATCGCCTGAGGAAACGGTCGTTTCCTTCCAGGCTTCAAGGGCCTCCAGAAGCCAGAGCCCACAGCTGCACCCTTCAGGCTCCGTGCCTCCACCTAAGAAACGCAGGCGGCCACGGTGTCCAGTCTCCCTTAGCAGTGTCGCCTAGGAGGGACGGACGTGGCCGCGGCTCCTGGCCACGGCTCCCAGCCACGCAGAGGCAGCTGGTGCCTCTGGCGCCGGCTGCTAGTTGGGACACCCTGAGCGCCCGAGCGTTAAGAGTCAGCCAAGCTGTGGTCAGCCAGTTACTCTTGAGGCTCAGCTGTTCTCTTGGCGTGGACACTAGTGGCATTCAGTGGGCAGGACACTCGCCGAGCCCGCCGTGGTGAGGGTGGGTGACAGGTAACACTGAGCAGGAGGCCAGGCCTCCCCCCACGTGCCACTGGGTGAGGCTCTTGGGTGCAGGTCAGAGGTGACCTCGTGTTCTGGGGCTCTGTGGAAAGGCTCGGCTCTGCAGGCTGGGCTCTGACCTGACCGCCCTCTCCAGCTGCACAGAGCGCCGAGACCACAGCCCGGCCCCGCCACGGCCCCGCTTCTCTCCTGTCCAGGGGGTGCCCTGACCCCTGACGGGCGGCTCGGGGCTCTGCGGCTCGTGCATCTTCCTTCCTCGCCCGCAGGTGTGAAGACGGGACCACTGGACGGCCAGGAGAGGGCAGCAGGGCAGGGACCCACCCCAGAGTGGGTCGCCGTCTCGCTAGGCCGGACGCCTGGGATGGTGCTGGCGGGGCTGCCCACGGCCCTCGGCCTCCCCTGCCCTGCCCTGGCTCCGGGGCTCCCGTGGGTCCACGTCCCCTCCCGCGCCACCCAGATCCCGGCTCTGGGGAGGGGGGTCTCTCTCGGCCGCCCCTTACCTTTCTCGGCTCCCGCCTCGTCGTGCTTCTCAAAGAGCAGGTAGCGCGGGCTCTCGGGAAGGAAGGGCAGGCTGACCAGCTGCACCAGGGCGGGGACGGCGATCACCCCGAACAGGTAGGGCCAGGTGCTCTCCTGGGGAGAGGAGCCTGTGAGCGGGCGTGGCCTGCGGTCACTGACTCTGCAGTGTGGCCCCAGGACGGAGGCTGGGGAAGGACCCGGCAGTGGCTCGGCCTAGCCAGCCGGCCCGCTGGTCCCTAGGCGGTGGACGGGTGGGTCCACGGCCACCTGGGCCTCGAGATGCCGGAGTGACCTGAGGTAGCCGGAGGAGGGCTCACGGGACCAGGGCCTGGGGGCATGGCCAGCCTGCAGGGGCTCTCTCTGTCCGGGGCACCATGCTCAGCCTGTCAGAACCTCCCCTCCGCCCCTGGATGGGGACAGCCCCACCCCGCTGGCCGTGCGCGGGACCAGGCGGTGCATGGACAGAGGCTGGCGGGCAGCAGGCGCAGAGAGCCGGCTGGTGTTGCTGAACAGGACGTCGCCGGATGGGCGCTAGGTCGGCCAGAGGCCAGAAGGGCAGCCCCGAGGCCACAGAGGAAGTGAGGGGGAGGGAACCAGCCTCGGCCTGGCCTGCGGCCCCTCCGGTGCGCAAACGGGCCCCGGACGCTGTGGAAGCGGATACTGAGGCCCCTGGGGTGAGCAGGCAGCGGCCAGGGCGGCCGCTCGGGGACCCCAGCCTTCACGCCCGCAGACATTGCTCCAGACGGGGTGGGTCGGCGCCTCCCGGGACGGGCCACGATCCGTTTCCTCGCATGGACCACGGAAGAAAGCAGCGGGGTGGACGCAGGACGTGGCCGCCTGGGAAGGCAGAGCCGCCCGCCCCCACAAACCCCAGGAGGAAGCGCTCTGGCTTCGGACGGTGTCTGGGGAGAGTTTTCATCTCAAAGAGGGAGCGTGTGGTTTCTAAGTCCCCGAAGGACAAAGACGATTCTTCCAGGCGAGAAGGTATTTGGGACCTGAAATCACGTGGACAGGGATGCTCTGCTCGGGCCTCAGGAGCCAAACGCTTCTCTTCCTGGGCTTGAAAGAAGTCTGGCGGCTTCTCGATCGAAAGCTCACGGAGAATCGGAGCTTCTGCTCTGGGGCTGCGTCCACACAAGTCAAAGAAGGGGCTGAAGAGAGCTCCCTGCCCGGCTTTCTGTAGCAGGACTTTGGGGTGCTGCCTCCCACACCCCCCGACACATCAGGACTTTGGTCCCATTGCAAAGACGCCGCAGGCTTCAAAGCCGGAGGCTCTGGCTTGCAGCCTCTTGCAGCCTCTGGGGTGGTCGCTAAGGGTGCCCAGATGGGCTTTCCCCGGCGAAGAGGAGCGAGAGGGGAGCGAGAGCAGAAGTGGGGTCCAGCCGGGCGCGTTGGAGAGGGCTCGGTGCCCAGCGGCCTTGGGCGTCTCCACGCCCGCACTGCGCTTTCTCCGCTCACGAAGCACCGCAGAGTAAGTGGCATCCGGGCTCCTCTGAGGAGTGAGGACACAGGCCGTGGGGGCCCGTGACTCACGCCCACCTCTGCGGTGGGGCGCCCCGATGCGGACCTGGGGGTCCTGCAGCCACACGCCTCTGCACACCTTAGCCCCGGGCCTCCTGTATCCTCCCCCAGAGCCTCTCTCTGTCACAGAATCACGTCTGCTCACCCCGTCCGGCCCCGTGCCTCCTGAGGGTGGACGGCGGCTGCGACGAGGTAACAGTCACTTTGTAAGTGACTATTATCAGTTTCCTCCATAATTAACAGTCTGTGCACCATGAACCAGAAACAACTGCCTTCCTCGGCCAGCACAGAAGAGTTACAGGAGTTGATCGTAATGTGGCCCCCCAAGAGAGAAGTGCGTGGCTTCCTTCCTTCTATACAATCAGCGACAATAACAAAGTCACATCTACTGGGGATGAAAAACACTGGTCTAAATCATTAACTGTTCTGGGCACGGAATTCAAACAAAAAATTATTTAGGAAACAAAACTATTGAGAAAGCGGCATCCTAAAAACACCAGGAATATTGCGTGCAATCTATGTTCACAGAAAGAACGCCAAAGCGGAAACTAAGAAAAGCAGAAAGCAATGGAAAGGCTCAATCACAGAGGGCGGCCTTTTATAGCAAAACGCAGACGAGCGTTTCGAAAAGAGAGATGTGAAATAAAATGAAATCAAGAGATGGTATAAAGAATAGACATGAGGGCATTAATGGTGACTTAGTGTGCTTGACATTCTCAATGAAATTGAGTGAGCTTCTTGAAAGGGTAGAAATTAACAAAATTGAATCAAAAGAAAATAGGTTAGATTTTTAATTATGGAGGAAACTGATAAAGGATCCTGAAAGAAATTCCCCCCCAAAAGACTAAGTTGTGATGGTTTTACTAATGGGACCTTTTGATACTTTAATTACCAACTAGTGATGTATAATCGGTTCTAATGTGAGAAAAAGATTAAAGGGGACATAAATGGGCTAAATGTTAAAAGCCCTAAACAAATTCATCGATAGATTTAAATAAACAAATCCTAAAAAGAAACAGGTAACTCAGATAGAATAACCTACTCCCTTTGGTGACCAAGGAAGATATATCCCGGGAATGTAAAGATGGTTTAAGATGTTGGATAACATCGCAAATCTAATAATTAGTTGTCATCCATAACTTAATAAATGTCAGGAGATATTTTGCATATTGCCGATAGGCTATAAAAACAAGATGACAAATTACTCCTTGCAAGACAAATAATATCCATTTCAAATTAATAAAAATGAACAGAGTGAATAGTGCAACATAATAGATGTCTCAAAAAATCAGGAATAAAGATCCCAATAAGCCAGGAATTAACAAAGCGTTGTTACCATGTCCTGGCCGATGCAATGAGACGTCAACATCAATAAAAACACAGGGTCTTGCTGTTAGAAAGGACGGACAAAACCTCGCCCTGCGTTGGTGTGATCAAACGTCACTCACCGACACTGCCCAGGCGAGCAAACACATCCTAACGGCTAGTTCCAGCTGACAGCCTCCGCAGCTAACAGCCTCGACAAACAATGCAATGGGAAAAACCAAAATAGCAATAACAAAACTTACATAAGTCAGTAAGTAGTCAGAAACTTACAGTTTCTAGTGCTCAGACACGCCAGAGCAATAAAAACAAGTGTGGGATAGAAAAGACAACCTAGGTGAAGAGACGGGACGAGTCTGTGGAACTCATGGTTCAGGTGAACACAATTCCAGCCGAGATCCCAGGGACGTTTTTTGTTGAGAAAACAGAAAAAGGTGACACGTTCCCAAGGGAGGACAAATCAGTGAACGTTTCCGACACAGCTTGAGGATGGAGACGGGAGAGGACGGCGTTAGGCTCATAACAGGCGAACCTGGAACCCGGCCGGGGCGCTGGTCAGGAACCCGCAAGCCAGCGCCATGGCCCTGTAGCAGCTGCGTGCCCAGGGCCCCAGGGGCGTGCACAGTTGAGTCACGTCTCCACAGTGGGCTCGGGGACGTGCGCTCTCACCAGGTCCGCGACCGAGAAGGTGCGCGGCCCCGGCCAGCAGGCACCGCTCAAGCTCCCCAACAGCCCCCAAGCCCCCCGACCTCTCAGGGCCTCCTCTTGAGCTGTTCTCGTTCTCTGTGTCTTCTCTCCCAATATTGCCCACGTGCCTAAGTCCTGCTCTTTCCGCCAACGAGGCTGAATTCCACCCACCCGCCGGTCTGGGTGCTGCATTCTGTCTTGGAAGGTCACGTAACGACTGAGTCGTCAGGCTGGAATTTACATTCATGTCTTCCTGCATCCGAGACAGAAAGCCCAAAGCAGAACACTGATTGCATGTGGATGTGGAGAGAGACTCAGTGAGGTGAGCAAGCAAAACAGCTCCGAACGACGCCCGGAATAATTAAACAGGAACAGCAAGTTGCAGGTGATGGCATGATTCTGGTAAGAAACTAAAAAGAAGCCGTATCTGTCTGCACAGGTTTGTGCAAGCAAAGGAAAACCCAAGTGGATGCTGGCTGAGTTGTTAACACCAACTATTGGGTGGGTGGGTGGGGGCGGGGTTTGAACTGTGAAATCTGAATTCGTTCCGCGTGCCCTAAAAACTAGACTCAAGCCCCACCCCAGGAACTCGACGGTAATTTTCCTGTGAGCATATGCAAAAGCCCTGAATATTGGGGGGTTTCAAGACACGGGGATGCCGTTCTGCAGGGGGTCCCGCCAGGGCCGCAGACCAGGAGACGGCAACGAGAGGGGGCCGCGTTCTGCGGGGGCCACTGACCTTTCCCAGCAGCTCGGGCAGGCCCAGCACCTGCCCGGTGAACACGCCGATGCAGATGAAGATGGCGGTGACCTGGCCCAGGGAGCCTCGGATTTCCTTGGGTGAGATCTCGCTCAGGTACATGGGGAGCGCGCTGAGGGCGATGCCTGTGGGGGGCCGGGCAGCAGTGAGGGGCGGCGCTCTCTGGGAAGACTGGGCCCAGCACCCCAAGCCCTTGCCCTGTTGGAAATAGCACTGTAGCCACGGCTACAGTCCAGCAGGCTGCACAGTGGCCAACCGTGGACTCCAGGGGTGACCGGGAAGTAGATTCTTAGAGGAAGAAATAGTTGATGATGGTAGTGAGTGTGGTGAAAGATGGGGTGATGGTGGAGGTGGTGGAGGCGAGGGGATGTTCACAGCGGTCCCGGTGATGATGCTAATATAGCTGACATGCCAGAAGCAGGGATCCTTCCATCTCTGATATGTGGGATCTCATTTACATTGCGTCGCCACCCTTTAAGCAAAAGCACCATCACCATCAGACATGCGCGGAACTGGGGCACAGAGCCCGAGCGGCTTCCCCAAGCGGCCACAAGCCAGCCACGCAGGCCCGAGAGGCTGCGCCCGGCAGCTCAGGTCTCTGGGCTGCAGACACCGCGTGCCCACCTCAGGCCCCGGCCAGGACAGCCTGGGCCGCCTCACGGTTCAGAGCGCCCCAGGCCGGGCCCCGGGCGAGCCTCACCTCCATCCACGCCCATGACGAAGCGGCCCAGGACGAGCATCTCAAAGGCGCCCGCCGGGAGGGCACCGGCCATGAGCAAGGCGGCGGCCACCGCAAACCCGTTGTTGACCAGCAGCGTGTACTTCCTGGAAGAAAGGGGGTGCAGGAGGGGCCTCTGTGCCTGGCCCGTTCCCCAGCAGGCCGTGCGTGCTTGGGGTGCAGGGGGCTGGGCAGGAAGGGGCGGAAGGGGCGCGAGTTCTGTCAGGAGTCAGCTGGCCTAACTCCCAGGCCAGAGCCCCGGCCGACTCTGACGTCCGCGCCCGGAACTGCTCCCCGTGCTGGTCTGGGGGCTCCCGAGGGCACGACCCGTCTTCCTGGCACAGGGCGGCGCGGTCCGTGTGTCTCGCGGGGGCGGGTCAAAGGAGCCTGCACCGTCTGCCGGCACGTGGGCGGCGGCGGCCGTGGCGGCCTCCTCTGCGTGGCCAGGCTCCCAGGGCTCCCCGGGCGCCTCAGGCCCCAGGGCAGGGTGCTGGTCGTGGTAAACGTGGTAAACGTGTGCGCGTGTGTGGGCCCGAGCGATGGAGAAGACCCGCAGCCCGCTGGGAGTGGGCTGAGCAGCTCTCGAGGCGCGGAGAGGACGCCTGGCCTCTCCGGTCAGCGGGCCGGCCCCGCCTCCCCCAGGCCCCGGGCCCGGCTTCCTGGCGGGTGGGCAGGAGAGGCTGCAGTGGCCCGAGGGGTGGAGGGAGGACCGGGCGCCCCTCGCCCCGACTGCCCGGAGTGTCTCCTCCCGGCGCCAGGCCCCGACCCCCATCTCTGCCCGCTCCTGGCTTTTGGACCCCGAGACGGTGGCTCTTCCTTTTAGCCCCCCCGGCTGGGCCTACGTGAAGGAATCGGGGACCCAGCCTTCCTCCTCGGGGCTCAGCGCCACTGTGCTGACCGTCACTGCAGCTCGGGGCTGGGCTCGCAAATGCTCTCCTGACCCCGACCGGCCGCGCCAGCTGGCCTCGTGCTGGTCATTCGGCCCTGGCGGCCGTGACGCCCCCAGGGCTCTGGCCCGGCACCCGCAAAAACGGGGGCACTGGTGTCCGTCTCGCAAGGCTGCTGGGGCGTCCGAGCGTTTCTTGAGGTGTCGGGTATGACCAGTCCTCCGCCTGGCCTCTCAATACGGAGTAAGAACGCGACATCGGCAGCGTGCTGGCCGGGACTGGAGCGGGGAGGCCTCCCTGGAGAGGTGGCACCTGAGTGAGCAGGCTCGGGTGGGGTCGGGCGCGGGCCAGCCAGATGGACGCCGCAGACCAGCGATCCTGGCAGAGGCGGCAAGGCCAGGCGTGGCTCACGGGGGCGTCAGGCCGGCCAGCACGGCGAGGGCCGTGGAGGGCCGCAGAGGAGTTGTAGAGGGGCCGCACGGGGGCTCGTGAAGGTCTCCATGTTACCAGGACGACTTGGGACCCCACCCCGAGCGAGGTAGGCAGGCTGG